CTCATAACCCATCACTTGTAACAGCCCAAATTTTTACAGATAATTTTAACTTTTAATTTCATAAATATCAACCACAATGTGTCCAAAAATCCCATTACATAGCCATAGTGTTTTAAAATTCAGAGTTGGAAACTAAATGTGAAAACACAGGAGAATGCACGTCGCGCCATAAAGTCGGGCCCTTGGCCTTATCGCTAGAAGTACCTGAAACATTCAATAGAGCTGTAAGCACAAGCTTAGTGAGATTCCCAAAACACATCAATCATATAATCACATAATACCATGCACATATATATACATATAAGTTTGCCATGGACTCCCTCCATGGTCTTCATTCGAATGTCATGGGCTACCCCCATGATCTTATATCCCCGAGCCATGGGCTCCTCCCATGGTCGTCACATAAATCCACATACATATCAAATAGCCACAATCACATACTCCATCACTAATCATCTCATACATATCAATTAATGGATCGGCCTTGGTGCCTTCGACCCATGAGTGTGGTGAGAAGACTCACTGCAATCTACTGAACACAAAAGCTACTCGCCTAACAATCTAAAACCACACGTTGAATAATAATACAATTAACCCTAATTTAGGATTATACACAACCTGATCAAAGAGTCTAAACACTTAAGCCTAAGTCCTTCCATAATGACCCAAAAGTCTCCCCTTTGCTAATGGGCCTAAGGCCCATGATAAAGACCATTAATGGGCCACATGGACCAATAAGGCCCAACCAAAACAACTATGGTCCAAAACAGAATATTAGCCCAACACTCTAAGTGGGACCAGACCCAAAACTGAATAAGACCCAAACCTAACTGAGTGCGTACGCCCTGCGTACCACTCTAGTACACTTAGCGTACTGAGCCCTTTGGCTGTACGTGCAACGTACATAAAATTACGCCCATCGTACAACCAGATTAAGCACCACGACCATTAAGTGCTTAATACTTGGAATTTCAACGTCCAGTTTCAGATCTGAACTTATTAAGACGTTCTAAGGCATAAAGTTGGAAACTTTATGCCCTTGAATTCCATAAGGGACTCCAAAACTTCATTCTTCACATTGGGAGATAAGTGGAATAGATTCAACGATGGTTAGTATGGGCGGTCTGTCAGGGAGTCAGACCAGCTCGAGTCTTCAGATTTCAGTTTGAGTAGATGTGGTTGCAAGGGATTATTTTTCAGGTTGAGAAAGGGTTCATTCATCTTCAGGTTGTAGAGCTCTGCGAGGGTTGGTTTCGAGTGCCTTGGGAAGGTTGGGGTATGCTCGGGGTTGTGGCCGGGTTGCTCAAGTTGTTGGGCGTGCCGAAAATAGTATAGAAAGATTTCGAGGACGAAATCTAATTTAAGAGGGGGAGAGTTGTAACGCCCTGTTTCGAATCGTTTCCCATTTTGGAGTAGTGATCAGGGATTGGGTATTAGCGGGTTTGGTACCCTTGAAGAATTGAGATTTAGACTCATTTGGGGGTGGATACTGTAATTTGGATGATTCGGGTATTCGATTTGTGTTTTGGAGTCAAAGGGTATATCGGTAAAATGTCAGATCGAGCTTTTATGGAAATTGGAGGTTTGTTCGGGAAATGGTAAGGAAGGTATGGGTTGATTAAAGTGAAGGGCTTCTCGTTACCTTTTCATGGATATAAGGATCGTCAGAATCGGATTTATAACGAAGAAGTTCTGGCCTTCGGAGTGCTTAAGGGTTTAAGAGGAAACCCTAGTACGCGGGGCGTACTGATGCGAAGGGTATTACGCAGGGCGTAATGTTGTGTACACTTAGCGTACTGCGAGGGTCAGATCAGGGTTGCATGACCTCGTACGCTGGGCATGCGAGGCGGACGCGGGGCGTACGAGGGGAAAGGAAAAACCATAATATTGGAAGTTGTACCCTATTTAAATGTATTAAGTGTTTTTGGCTTGCCTCTTTACCAGCCTCCAAGTCCCCAAAACCCTAGAAATCGTCTCTAAGCCTCCATGGTTGTGATTTTGAGGCCATAGTGTGCATTTTTGTGGTTTTGGGTCATTTCCAAGAAGATGGAGTCTGGTGCAAGGTTGTGGATCGAGGAAGAGCTTGTGGATCTTGATTATGTGCTTCATTTCCAGCTTGTTTAAGGTAAAAAGCTTTGATCTTGTTCATTGTTGGCTTAGATCTATGTTGTATGAGGTTCGGTCCCTTTTTGGCCCCAAGAATGAGATCTTGTGGTTTGGTACCACTTCAAGAGCTATGAGTTTCCACTATTGGTGTTTCTGAGGTTCTAGGTGCATAAAGTTGCCTCCTTTAGGGTTTGGAATCCCCCATGCATGAGATGGTGTCCATTTGGTAGAAGTTTAAAGATTTATCTTGAAGATTGGTTTTTTTGGGGTATGCAAAGTCACCAAGTCAGTGACTTTATGGTTTTAGACACTTATGTGGACTCAGATCTGTGGTTTGGACTTCTGGACATAAGCATTAAGAGCTTAATGTCGAAATTGGCTTAATGGATGAGTACGCTCAGTGTACAAGCCAAATTTCATGTACGCTTAGCGTACAGCTGAGTACACCTCGCGTACTTAGTCAGGAGGGTTTTGGCTTTTGGGCTTCGTGTTGGGCTTCCTTTTTGGGCTTGGGTGTTTAAGTTCTTAATGGGCCATCTGAGTACAAGTGTTTTGGACTAGGAAAATTGGTTGGGCTTTAGGGTAAGGCCAATGTAAGGGGTTTGGGCCCAATTTGGAAAAATTGGGCCATAATTGGGCCTTGGTTGATTATTTGGCTTTTGGGCCTTAAGAGTGTGAGTTGGGCCTTAGTTTTGGACCAAGCTAGGTTAGGGTAAAATGGTTTTTTACCCTAAGTATGGATTTATGGTTATGGATTGGAACCCAATTGTTAATTGGGTGTTGTTTTGATGTTGACAGTTCGGGGATCTGCCAGCCAGCAGCCAGGGATCGTCTGTATGATTCGACAATACGAGGTGAGTCTCCTCACTGGGTTTAGCGGGTTGAAGGCATCAATGTCGGCCCATGGTTTGTATGTTAGAATGCTAGATGTCTTTGTAACTCTTGTGTGCGTTTGTAGGATGGTATGCTTACCGGGCAAGGCCTGATGTCAGGCGGGGCCTAAGGAGGATAGTGTATGCTGGTTATGAGTATCTGTTTTATGCTTACCAGGCGAGGCCCGATGCCGAACGGGGCTCGATGAATGTATGGTATGATATAGTCTTTGTGATTATTACATGTGTTAGTAAGGTTATATGTTTATATGATTATAGGGTTATATGATCATGTGTGTATTGGGCGGGGCTCAATGTCAGGCGGGGCCTGGTAATTGACAGATCTGTAATCCGAGTAGGGCTCGATGCCGGGAGGGGGGGGGGGGAGGTCGGGCGGGGCCTGAGGCCGAGTGGGACTCGATACCGGGCAAGGCCCAATGGAAGGCGGTTTTCAATGGAAGATCTCGAGATGATTGTAGAGCACACACCACATGTTTCTGTATTCTGTGATTTATTATGATTCGATGATGTTTTGCTAACTCTTGATTACCTTGGTTTTATGGAAATGTTATGTATTAACGATTTATTAATCTAAAAACGAAAATTATATGTCATTATTTTTGTGACGTTACATGTCAACTTCTTAATTCTCAACCTTAACAACTTTCCAATTTCCCCTATGATGCTTACTTGTCCACATCCTTATTTGGCCCAACCTGCATGCCAACATACGGATGTATTAAAATATTTTATAAAACGTACAATAAAGACTTATTCATTAGACATACAATTCGAGTAGACTTCGTGTCCTCCCCGATAAGTTTATTATCAACACGTTTAATACAATCTCCACAAAGCGGACTAATAAAATCCTCACTATCATCAAATATATGGTCATAAATTTCCACCGCCCAAAATATAGATGCATCTTAGACCTTCAACTGAATCAAACCTTTGAAGCATAATATATCACAATCAATGTAGATTGTATCAGTGGTGTATACACATATATGAGTCCAAAAGGTTTTTAGACCTTCAACCTTGTCAAAATGCTCAAGCTATATTATGTATTTCTTCCTTTAGGCATCGAGCTTAATGGATGAAGAGAGAGAGAGAGAGAGAGAGAGAGAAAAAAAGGGGATTTAGTGTTGGATGGATGTGATTATGGTTTTGATAATTGTTTCTTATTTTCTTAATGACCATAATCTCATCCTTAAATATATTTATTATTGTATAAGACTCCCTGAAGCCTTTATGGTTCATCTAATAATACAAATCCACCAACTAAATATGAAATTAAATTAAACTCTTTTACTTAATATTAAATAGACAAAATTGCAAAAATGGTCCTTGTGGTATGCATTTTCTTGGGGTTTTAGTCCAAACCTCGACTTTTTTGGATTCATGGTCCTTTTGGCCTAGTTGTACGTAAAATTGGTCCCCCGACTTAACTGCCGTTAAGTTGTTGCTGTTAACCCCATCATGTGCATCTCACATGAGGGTATATTTGTCTTTTCACATCTAAGGGACCATTTTTGCACCTAAATATATATATATATATATATATATATATATATATATATATATATATATATATATATATATATATTTAAAAAAAAGTAATACCTTTTTATTTATTTTAATAATGAAAAAATAAAAGAGGTCTCTCTCTCTCTCAATAGTAAACCCCATGTAGCACATTGTCATTGAGTCAACCCCCTCAATGTTTTACGATCTCCATATTGAAGCAACCATGTGTCTTTTGATAACATCCCCACTCATTTATTGCTTAATGTACTTCAATTTTTTTTCCTTAATTATGTTGACTTTTTTTGAGTTCATACAGCTGACCCATCTTTGATTTCATCCCCCCACCCACACAACACCTTCAAATTGGGGCAACTGTTCCTTCAAAGATCTTGCAAACCCCATTCCTCAAAAACTCAAATTCCGGTTTGAATCCAAATGGATTATCATCAGTCAATCAAGACTCAACAAAAGTCTGCCTACCAATCTGATCCATCAACCTCTGGTTTCTAATCTTAGCCAATGCATCACTCTGCATCGTAGCAGGTTCTGCTTTAGAACCTCCATGATCTTGCAAACCCCACTCCACACATCGGTTTTCATAAGGTCCCTGTTCTTTAGGACCTCCATGATGCTAACGAATCCAGGAGAGCAGAAAACAGTGCCGAAGTAAATTTCGTCGCTAATGAGATGGATGTTCTTGGAGGAGACAACGTCAACGAGAAGGTTGACTTCATGCAAGCTCAATGATGTCCCTAATGGGTTTGATGGGTTTGTGACTAAAACACCCTTCACTTTCAGGTTCTGCTTTTGTGCTTGTTCGTATGCCTCTATGAGGGCCGATTCGGTGATTCTGAAACCATTTGAGCTCGAGCAGTGGATAGGTACTATCTCAGCTCCAGTTCTCCACTTGAGATCTCTATCAAACCTATAATATAATAAGATAAATTTGATCAGTTTAACTTCCTTACGTCGAAATATGGCGGATTGATGAGGTAGTTTAGTGACCATGAACTCACCCTGGATAATATGGGGTGGGAAGGAGGAAAGCCCCGCCGAGATTAGCTAGGCAAAACATTAAAGTTTCATTGGGGGAGGTTGCTCCGGCGGTGAGTACAAGGTTGTTTGGATCAAATGTTACTTTATTTGCTCTGATCTCTGACATGAAGTCCGCTAATGACTGCAAAATAAGAAACACGTAACTGTTAATAATATAACAAAAAAGGAAAGAGGTAGTTATTCAATCATGAAAATAATGAGCTTACGTTTTTGAAAGCAGGAAGGCCATGATAATCTTGGAAGAGGGCAAGCTCCTTGAAGAGTGAATGATTATCGTTTTTGAATTCGGCTGAATCAGGATTGTTCTTCAGCCATGATTCCAGAAGGTCCAAGGAGAGTTGATTCTCGGTGAGACCCATCTGCATGATATCGTTGGGATTTTTAAGTTGGTGGTATGGATTTTTCTCGTACTCCTCGAATCCAAGGAAGTAGGATAAATCTTGGCCATGGGAGTTGACGTGGCTTTTGCAGACAACATCTTGATGAGAAATAGAGAGAGAGAGAGAAGAGAGAGAGAGAGAAAAAGAGACCTCTTTTATTTTTTTATTATTAAAATAAATAAAAAGGTATTACTTTAAAAAAAAAGAATATATTTTTTTAGGTGCAAAAATGGTCCTTAGAAGTGAAATGACAAATATACCCTCATGTGAGATGCACATGAGGGGGTTAACAGCAACAACTTAATGGCAGTTAAGTCGGGGGACCAATTTTGCGTACAAACTAGGCCAAAAGGACCATGAATCCAAAAAAGTCGAGGTTTGGACTGAAACCCCAAAAAAATACATACCACAAGGACCATTTTTGCAATTTTGTCTATTAAATAAAGTCTTTACTCATGTATTATGAGTTACAATAGGTATCACTTTGTTCTAGTTTATCTCAATGTCAATGTTTTTTATGGATTGTTATTTCAAAAACAACATAGAAGTTTGGTTGAAGATCTACTAGTTATCTATAAGACAATGATCCATACACAACACTTTTTAGTCATATACAACAATTTATGTTTTATACAGTTATACAGTTATACAATACAATCTTATAAAACATAAATTGTTGTATATGTCTGAAAAATATCATGTACAAATGACTACCCTTATTTATAAGGCATGTCATGTCAACAAGAATGTCTAATCAATTGCATACAAATTATGAGGTAAAGTTGAAAATAAACATCTACAAGGTAAATAGTAAAAACTTTATAAACTTACGGTTTTTATTGCGAGTTAACTTTAAGAAAAAATGAAACAGCTAAACAAATTAAAATTATAATGTTAGAAAAAAAAATATGGATAAAAAAACCCTCAAAATTGAAAAAACTTAACAATTTTATTGACAATATCCATATACAAACATATTAGAGTACATCATACTATTATCTACTTTAAAAAAAATAACTAATTTATCTTATTTTTTTTTTATAAAATTTTAAAAAGTCCTCACATCTAATATATTATTACTTAAGTCCATGTAATATTTATAATTTTTTTACAATATCATTAAATAAAATCAATATATCACATTATATAAAATTAAAATAAATATTAATAAATCTATAGTCAAAAAATAATAAATGTTTGAAGGTTAAATATAATTTAAAAAGGGTAAAATTGAACTTTATCAAATAAAATGGGTAAATCGTAAATAATAATAATGAAAAAAACATGTACTAGAATAAAAATCGGTGATATAATTTACCCAAACAATTATTATCTTCAATGTTAAAATCTATTTATGGTTAATGTGTAATAATTAGGCTCTCCATAAAGCTCTTCAATATTGAAGATGATTATAGTTTTTTTTTTTTTTTTTTATAAATTTGAACAGCAAGATATTATAGTATTTAGGTTTTCCATATATTTGAAAAAGGGTTTAAATAAAGCAAAGCTGATTGAAAGGATATCACATGACTTTAAAAAAAATAAGTTGGTTTAAGAAGCATGAAAAGAAAGGGTGGGGAAATTATGGATTTCTCATGGGATTAAAAGACATGACAAAATAATGTTTTGTTACGAATATCCAACACACTTATATCCAAGGCCCTAGTGTTTGAGTTATTTAATATTTCACATTAAAGTTTTGTACTATAATAGGTAAAAGTTATAGAATATAAATAATTGCATTATCCCCTCCCCTTTTATATATATATATATATATATATATATATATATATATATATATATATATATATATTATATATATATATATATATATATATATACATCAAATTATTAAGTAAGACAATGAATGAGGATGAACAATTTTCACTCCTTTAATAATTTCATTTATCTATTGAATTACTTGATGATGTATGAATTGGATGTTATGTAGTATAAATACACATCAAATATAAAGAGAAAATCACATCATATTGAATATAATTTTCCAAGTGTTCAAGAATCCTCTCAAATCTTCTTCTTTTATTTTATAACTAGGCGATATTCCGCGCGTTGCATAGTTATAATTATAATATTGATAAATATATGTTATTAAAATAAATATATACTTGTTAGTAAGTTTAAATTAATAATTCTTAAACTAATTTATTATAAAATATTCTAAGTGTTTTAAATAAATGATAAACATTATAAAAAATGAGTGTACAAAATTACTTTCGTAATGAATTTATGAACATCAAATAATATATTTCATGTTATTCTATTTAAAATCGCATCATCTCAATAACCGCTACCTTTGAAAATAAAAATAAACTCAATTTAGATAAACATATTTTATTTTAATAAATTTTAAAACTATTTTTTGATACATGTTTTATATTTAAAATTTTATTTAAACTTTTAATATTTTTAATTTATTTTAGACTATCTATTTTATGGAAAATATTATTATTATAACAAATAAATTTTAACTTTTTTTTGTTAATATGATATTTTGATTTAGATCATCCATTTAAACTTTTTAAGTATTAAAAAAAAGTTTTGAATATATTATAAAAAATATGTTTTGAATTTAACATTATATTTAGATTAACAAACTAAGTATATATTATATTGAGAATAAAGAATTAATATTGAAATTGCAATAATATTGCATTTAATGTATTAATTTAAAAAGAAGTTGAAAAGTTGAGATTTCAAATGAATATGGTTAAAGAAAAAATGTCAGCCTAAAAATTCACAAAATCTGATGAAGTAAGCAACACACTATATAGTGAAACATAGGTCGAATGTTGCACACGACCCTCATCCAAAAACATACGAAGTTGAGAACTAACAGCCCTTTTCTGGTATATTCTCGAACAACATCAAGAATGAATGAACATGTTTGAAGGTTTATAACAATAAGATCACCATCAAATTGATAAAATCAAAGGCTACCCTTATAGAGGTGTATACCCAAAGAAAAGCAACAACTATAACATCAATTTCAATTTTGTACCATGGACTGAATGCTCTTCCAATTATGTGGTCTTTCCATTGAATAAACCTATAGGCTAACGAACATTTATGTGTTTAAAAAACTCTTGAGTGTATGATTAATTATTGTGAAGTTGAAGAGGTGTGGAGTTTCAAATGCATGAGGTGCTAGGAAAAAGAGGTGTGTGAGTTTCAAATGTATGAGGTGCTAGGAAAAATACCTCATTTATAAGTATAGTATGATGTTTTAGTTTTGTTTTGTTAGTTTTAGTTTTAATTACATCGAATTTATAACATAGTATTAACACGAAAACTCTATTCGAGTGGAAATCACATCTATCATACTCAAGGTATATATTACTTAATAAAAAAAGTATTTATTATAAAAAACCATTTAAAACTAATAATGAATTATGAAAATTTATTCGTTATTAACGACTAATGATATTTATTTATTTTTTGCCAAACCATTATTTATGTATTTTAACTTTTATTTATGCATTTACATTATGCAACTAATTTTTATTTATGTACACTAACATTTAAATTATGAAACTAATCTTTATGTATACTGACGGTTGTTTATACATACCCATGTTCATTTATTTATATTTTAGATATTCTTCATAATTTTATTTAAACATTTACTAATATTTATTTATGTTTCTAATTAGTAAAATTATACCAAGTAAAATTATGTACTAATTAAAAGTCTTATTAAATGATTTATAAAATACATATACATATATGTAATATATATACACAATGGTTATATATATGCAACGGTTATAAACGGTAAAAACAACGACTATTTTTTCTACTATAAATAACATCACTATCATATGTCTTTCTACCACAAAAAGGAGTAAATTTTCTCACTTTTCAAGGTTATCAAGATCAAAATGATTCATCAAATTGTGATTCTCGCAACTATAATGACTATGACACTTAACTTCCTATTTTTTTAATTTCACACCAGATGTATTTTGTCCTGATTTATTTTATCATTTATTAGTCTTGTATGGGATAATTCTTCTCCCGCTTATGCTTTGTGCAATACATATTGAAATAAATAGATTTTAATTTTTATCTTGTTATTTTGTTTAAATTTATAGTTACAATATGTCCAACATTGCAAATCTCAAGGTTTGCAGCACTTGAAGTTAGGGGCTGTTTGCCAGGATCTAAATTTTTAAGATCTGAATTTTTAAGAGGTCTGAATTTCTAAGAGGGTCTGAATTTTTAAGATCTGAATTTTAACATGCTGTTTGGTTGGAATATCAGAATTGTTGTGCTGAATGGTAAAAATGACCATTTTACCCTTATGTACTATTTTTTTGTTGAATTCAACATTTCTGATTTATAAAATAACTGAACCCACATAATAGCAACCAACTTTACCAATGATTCTCAATAATAGCAACCAACATTTTCTTGCAACAAAAAAGAAGCACCAAGATTGCTCCATATGTTACAACAACTTTATCCGCAAACATAAGAAGTTAAACAGGAAAAAATGAAAATAAACAAAGATTGCATTTGCATTTGGACTTTTCAAATAAAACATTCAATCTTAACAAGTGCATTTGCTTGTCAAATAAAACATTCAATCTCAATAATCGCATTTGCATTTGCAATTGTGTTTCAAAAGGTACCATTCTGCAACTTCATTCTCTAATCTCCATAAAAGGTGGTTTTCTTCTTTCGTTTATGTATTAGCCTCCACCATAGGTGCTGCAATTGCAATTTTGTAAAGGAAGATCAATTGGGGATCTTTGTGCCATTACCAGTCGTTGTTGTTTCTCCGTGAAGATGAGCTTCATGTTGGGTGAATAACACTACCCCAACCGATAGAAGAAGATTCAGGACCTTTCACCTACAAAGCCATCCACCTTGTATAAGAACTTCATACAACCTTATTAACAACAAAAATAAATAGGCTTCATATAAACTTCATAAAAATTACAGTTTGAACTAAATATTGAAGA